CGATAGCGGCTCCCAAGGTGGGTAGATCTGCCGACGCAACGCTCTGGAGGGCCAAACGGCTCCGTGATTACGCCCTCTATACGATCATTTCCTGATAACGAAAATACTGACAGGCTGTCAGGAGAGGGGGAGGAAAAGAGAGACTCTGTATATTATTCTCATATGATTTATATAGAGTCGTTATTCATTTGTTTTAAAGCTCAATAAATAACAAAGAAGTCCTCTGACCGGCACTTTTATAATTTTGTCCGGAAGATTTAAACTTTAACAGACATGTTGACCGGCGAAAAAAATTCTAACGGAAACTCTGCCGCACGGTTCCCTCGTCCCTTGGAAGAGGCGGAGAGGTGGGTGTTTTTCATCTGCTGGTGGACTACCGGAGAGATTTACAGCAGGAGCACACGCTTGCCTCGGGGAGGGAGAAAAAGAGCCAGAGCCCTGGCCCCTGCCTCTCTCCCCACCTCTGCTGCTAAATCCACCGTGGAGAATAAACAGAAGGGCAACCATGGCAACCATGCATGCTCGTGAAGTCTTCTTCGCTGCTTTTGGTGTATTTTGTGGCGGAAGTACAGCGCCACTTACTATCCAGCGGGTCGAGCGGTCTCGTGTGGACGGACACGTTTCTGGTGCCGATTGTGTGTGGACGGAAGACTTTTTTTATATCAAATTCGGTTCGTTTTAGTTACCGTCTCCGTGTGGCTACGGTCTTAAAGGTGAGGAGCGGTCTCTTAAAATCGTTACGGTATTTGACAGGCAGCCGGTGAAGTTGCTGAAGAACAGGAGTGATGTGGTTAATGGAGGGGATTCTGGTGATGATGTGGCAACAGAGTTTTGGACCAGTTGAAGGTTGTAGATGGACTTGAGAGGGAGACCAAAGAGAAGAGAATTGCTGTAGTCGATGCGTGGAGGACGGGCGGAGGAGGTTAATGTTACGTATAATAAACAGACCGAATGACATTACTGATGTGAGTTTTTAAGGAAAGTCTGCTGTCGAGCATGACAGCCAGACTCTTAACCTGAGGGGAGGGTGAGACTGAGGAGTTGTCGATGGAAATGGAGAAACTGTCAGGTTTGGTGAGGGTGGATTTGGTTCCAATGAGGAGAACCTCAGATTTATCACTGTTAAGTTTGAGGAAGTTGTAGGAGAACCAGGATTTGATTTCCTGTGTGATTTTCATTTTTTTATTTGTTTTTATTAACATAATATATTATGCATTGTTGGAGCCTAACATTCTGAAACTAGGGCTTTAATGTAATTCTTGTGTATATGATGATTAAGAATGTCAACCTAAATATCTTACATTTTATTTTTCCCTGCAGCGTATAATGACCTAGTAGAGCCTCTCCAAAACAGTTGTCCAGAAGCTTTGGATACTCCCAACAATGCTGGAGTCACACCTCAAGACCTGCTGGACTGGAGGAAACAAACAAAGGTAAATTAGACATTTAGAACCATTTTATGGTGCTGTGTTTTGATAGTTGCTATTAAAAGTTGTCACAGTGCCAGATTTTTAAATAGCTTGTTTTTCCTGATCAAAATCCCAAAATGCAAAGGTATCTTTATTGATACTTTCTATAACGCTCATGTGATTAATCTATTTTGGTTAGCAATGTATTAAGTAGGGCTGTGCAATTAATCATATTTTAATCGCAATTACGATTTTGGCCTGCCACAATTACGAAAACAACATAATCGAAAAAAACGATTATTTTGCTTTGCTAGGTTGTGACAGTGCACTGCAACATATTTGATCAAATGTATTTGTATTTATCATATTTATATATGTTTAGTAGCTTGATGAAGTGCGCTCCAAAATATTTGTTGATCTTGTTTATTGGTATTTATTATTTTGATATTATTTATTTAAATGTAGATATAAATGTATAATTTATTTTATTTATTTTTGTATTGGTTTTTCAGTTGAATTATACGTTCAGGGAAATCAACAGTTAAAAAGATACTGTTCAAATTATTATTTGTATTTAAAAGTTCAATAAATAGATGTTTTCAAAGTCAATGAATAATCGTATTTAATAATCGTGATATCAATTATTGACCAAAATAATCGTGATTATGATGTTTGCTATAATCGCAAAGCCCTAGTATTCAGACATAATTTTCCCATGACAATTCAGTTTATTTGACAAAGATATATTCTCTCTGTGTTTATTTTCATAATATACACCAATGTATGTAATTGGTAATAAAGACAATTCAATTAAACTGTATTAAATGTGTTATCCGATGTCTAAAGAGCACAATGTTTGTTAGTTAAGGATCATTTTGACATATATTACCTTATATTCTTCAGGCTGCTGAAAACATGAGTCGTCCATCTGAAAAAGACCCGCAGAAGGAGTGGATCGAAAAGCTGTTTGGGGAATGCGTGGATGAGTTCCATGAAACCTTTGGTGTGTATGATTCACACACATTCATGTCTTTCTTTAAGGCTGGATTTGATTCTAGCAGTTTTTACTTGATAATAACACAGCTGTTCTTGATTCACAGCTGATGATTATCTTCCTGTCGATGATGATGAGGAAGACTTTGGGGACTGGGCTGACCGTATTAGAAGAGATTATTATGATAAGAAGATCGCTGAAACTCAGAGACTGGCAGCTTCGTCTTCTGGGTGGAAAAAGAAAAAGAAGAGTGATCAACAGAGAGAGCAGGAGGCGCAGAGCCACAAGGAGCTGCACGAGAAGCTGCAGAGGGAACACGAAGAGTACCTGGCACGAGCCAAACGTAAAGAGGAAGAGACTAAACTGGGTAAAAAGCGCACGTACGATGAAAAGTGCGCGGCTACTTTTGATGGTGGCTCTTCATCTAAAGACACAAAGCTGAGCTACAGCGACATCCCCTGGCCGGCTCCACGAGGCACCGTGCAGGATATGCTGGATGTGATGCTGCACGGCGTGGACAGGAACGACGTGCCGGTGTTCCGTAAAATGCTCCTGAAGCAGCAAGTGCTGTGGCATCCTGACAAGTTTGCTCAGCGCTGTGAAGCTCGTTTAGAGGAGAAGGACAAACAGCGGATCCTGGATACAGTCACAGCGCTCTCGCAGGAGCTCAACAGTCTGGCACAGAGCCTCAAGTCTTAAAATGTTAGCTTTATATATAATAAGCGTATTTTCTGGACAATAGAACTGTTGCATTAAAGGGTTTTCATTCCCTTCCCCTAGCGTTGTGTTGTGGTATTATTTGTTGTTGGCACTGCTGTTGCAAAGACCACCAGATCACTTTCCATTTTTCTCACCGACTCAACTTTCCCCGTCGGGTTGATGTTAACACTTTTGTAGCTGATTTCATATGAAGCCAAATGCCGGAACAGACCCAAGTTTCACCATTAGGTGTTGCCTTTGACACAGAAGCTCCCACATGACTTCTTATTTGGCATTGTGGTTGCCTCGTCTGTTCTGATGCGATGGTTCGAGATTGATTTAAATCACATTGTCATATTTCTCATTACTAATGCAATACAAGTTAGATTTTCTTCTGAACCACTGACCTTTATGCAAATGATTATGTGATGATGCCGAATATGCAAATAGGTGTCCGACTTTAGCCTCTTTCTATGAAAAGAGTTGGGGACACTGCACAGGACACACTGCGACCGGACCCAGCAGCAAAGAGGAAGCAAACTCTAAACTCAGATGGTGTTATTTTTCTATAGCTGTTTCATTGTGCTAACATCAATTACTTCATAAGGTTTGGCAAAGCACAAGCGTGTGTATTACTCCTTTAATGTCAAAGAATCAAAACATTCCTAAAACAATGTTTTGGTCATCAGACATTGATCTGGTGAACTTCATACAGATATACAGCGCCATGATGTGAATGTAAATGTGGCCCGGGGGAAAAACACAAATCGGCGGGAGCTTGTTAGCATTTATGCAAATGAAAGATAATAATTCAGGAGGCTTCAGGTTTTACACACCTGTTCAGTACAATCCCAGACTGACCAGGGAGCAGTTGAGGGCTAAGGGCCTTGCTCAAACTAATGGTGGGAAAAATGCTCTGATCTTGCCAGCCTGGAGATCGAACTGGCAACCTTCAGGTTCCAAGATTTCCCCTTGCACCTTTAGCTGACTAAACACAGCTGTGAACCCCCTGGATTAAATCATCTGAGATGCTGAGATAACATCCCATTGTTAAATTCCTGATTTCAATTAAATAAAATGAACCACATCCAGATTTCTCTAATCCCAAGTAACATTTGTGTTGAGTCATGGTGGTTTATAGTAGCTATGTAACGGCATGTAGCCAGAGTCTCATCAATAATAATATAATTTAATAACTTTTTATTCATTACATCGTAAGATTTGTTTTATTGACACCAAAATAAACAAATAATAAAACACCATAACGGATTTCAAACACAAAGAAGTGCAGATGGTCGGCCCTCTTTCAGTGGCGGAACAGAATAAGAAGATGCGGTGGTTGCCAGGTTTGCGAGATAACCCCCCTTTTAAAAACGCTCCATTTCGAGACAAAGGGATTAACTAAATTGTTTAAAATAAATATGAAAATAGACCTTTATTTATAACTATTCAAAATGGAAGATATAATGGCAAAAGTGCTAGCTATTAATTTCCAATAAAACTTGAGACATTAAACATTTCAATGATACAAAAGTTAGGATAATTACAATTAAATGTTATTGTTCATAATTTGTTGACTACAGTCTCCTCGTCCCAAAAGCCTTTCGTGCAGGCTTTAAATGTATTCTTGAGCTGCATTTTCCTAAGCAAATATATATTTTAGTAGAGCAAATAAACGCTGTTGATACAGCAGGGTGTTAAATACCTGCAGTTTTAATGTCAACACAAGGCAAACGTAAGTAAAATAACATTTATAAACAGAAATTATATACTTATTCTACACCAAACCTGTTTTGCCTCTTTTAATCCTACTATTCAAGAAACAACGATTATTTCAGAGGATGCGAGCCTACCTGGCAACCTGGCGACGCAATCTGTGTCAAATTGCCGGGCGACGTAGTGGGAATAAAGGCCGGAGCCTATTTCTGACTGTGGCTTCTCTTATTAACGCGTGATGCTGGCTTCAGCCGCGTTTGTTATCATGGCGGGTTAAACATTTAACTTTTTGTCTGCCTGTTGCTCGTTTCTGTGCAGCCAGCGTTGCGTCGTCTCCGTGTTTTAGCGCCGGAACAATGACAGGTGTCGGAGGTAAAACGCTCGCGGGATGACGCCTTTCTCCACGAGCCTGTGCATCAGGGAGGTTTCTGTCTTTGTTTTCATATTCTTTATTAAATAGACACCAGGCGACGATAAAACTGTCCACAGACTCGGAATGAGAAACAAAGCCTCATCTGGAATGGGACTTTTTTATTTGACGATAATTAATCCTCGAGGGGGTGTTAATTGATTAAATGCACGCGCCGACTCGTTACGTGTTGTGATGTCCTGTGTTGGCGGGTGGTGAAAGGCTCGGTGTGCAGCTTCATTGGGCTACAGACAGATTACTAAACGGCGCAGCAGATCTGAGGCAGATAAAGATGGTGTTTCGGAGTGAGGAGATGTGTCTGGCGCAACTGTTCCTGCAGTCCGGCTCAGAATATGACTGCATTAGTGAGCTGGGGGAGCTGGGGCTGGTCGAGTTTCGAGATGTAAGTATAGAGAGGATGCAAAAACACTCGTATAGAAGTAGTCTTTATGCTTATTCATATGCGTTATCTTATGTTTAATGTAGAAGAAACTGATACCTTACTTGACTCTGTCTTTCTCTTGGTAAACATGGATATGTAAGAGGGATGGTGTATGGGGGAACCTCCTGCTATTTTATATCTATCTATCTATCTATCTATCTATCTATCTATCTATCTATCTATCTATCTATCTATCATGACTGACTTTGAATGTAAAATGTATTTATTTCTTCAAGGTTTACGTCAAATTATTCCACATTGTACTTTACTTAAATGAACAATATTTAAATATTTAAATCAAATATGTATTAACAACAATAAATCATTTTAAATATTAGGGACAGTGTTAAGCTGTGATTGTTTTAGCACCTGCCCAGACTGATGCAGTAACCTGTGCTTCTCCTCTGGTTTCAGCTCAACCCGAGTGTCAGCTCGTTCCAGCGGCGCTTCGTCAGCGAAATCAAGAGATGTGAGGAGATGGAGAGGATTCTGGGTAAGAGAGAGAGCACCTGGGGTGGTTCATGTGGGTGTAGTCTTTAGTGTACACCTCAATGATATATCATCAGGGTTATGTAAGCAACTCACGGCTGATTTATTAAAACGGTCCCTCTGGGATTTAGCTCCGACACTCCTGGAATAATTACCTCGAAGCAAACAGTCAGCATTTTTTCCTGGACAGGTTACCTTCTGAGGGAGATTCAGAAGACTCACATCGCTGTTCCAGAGGAGGATGAGAGCCCGCTCGCTCCTCCGCCCAGACAGGTGCTCGAGATCATGGTAAGTGTTACTTCAACAGCCACATTTTACTGCAAAATTAACCATTTTGTACACTTTCATAGTGTTTATTTTTGTCTGTTTACACATAACACTAGTGTCCTGGTTCTGATCACTTCTGGATAAACTATTTATAGACAACATAGAGATCCTGGCTGTTCATTTATATGTAAACAATATAATATTATACAAGTTTTTTGAGCATGTCCTTCCACCTTCAGGTCTACAAACCTACAGTTTGAATTTCCCCACAGGGATTAATAAAGTTCCATCTTATCTTATCTTTTCCATATTTTCAGTATCGACATGGTGGAATAATTGATGCTTTTTGTAACCATGTCTAATGGTATCATGCATAGTTTCCCTTTATGGAGGGTTGACAAAATAGTGTAAAAACATCATATCAAATAATGGTAATTACTCATGCAGAAATGGCAGAAAATGCTGTTTTCAGCCTTTCAAATATTGACATTTCCTGCTTTTCTCTCTTTAATAACCTATTAAACCAAATGTGTTGGCTTTTAGACTGACAAAACAAGACAATTAAAGACATTGCTTTGGACTTTGAGAAACATAATTACACAATTTTACTTTTTTCAGACATTTCATAGACCAAATGATTAAATGTGTATTAAATATTGGTATTTATCCAGTGATAGTTCATGTAATTAGTTTAATTTGTCAGGATTTTTTGTCTACCTGCTATCGGTCAATGTATCTTTTACAGTTTAATGTTTTAAATGTGTGGACTTGTGGCGTTGTTGCTTTATTTTCCCAGTTGTTCCTCTTCATAAGTTAACTAAATGCAGACTAAAGGTGGTGTTGGATGTGTGTTGGTGTGCAGGAGCAGCTTCAGAGGCTGGAGATGGAGCTGAGCGAGGTGGCTCGGAACAAAGAGAAGCTGCAGAGGAACCTCCTGGAGCTCACCGAGTACACACACATGCTGAAGATCACACGCACCTTCATCCACAGCCGCTCCAGAGTGAGTGTGCTTCCTAACGTTCTGCTTTTGTCCTCCTCCCACTCTGTTTACATCTCAGGTGAAACGCTTCCCTTAACCTCGCCAGCTTGTTCTCTTGTCACGTACGTGTTTAGTTTCCCGTGGTGACAGAGGCTCAGATTAAAGACACGGTCACAGTGCAGTCGCTAAAAAATGACTCATCCAGACTGCTGTGATAAAAAGAGACACGGCAAAGAGCAACGATGGTGTCAATGTGAGAATCTGCCAACACCACAAAGTATAGGATAGTGGTGAAATATAACTAAGTGCATTTACTCAAGTACTGTACATTCACATTTGTACTAATCTATAATGATGTGTCCCTACATCTAATAGGAAATCATTTGGTTTTCATCCCACGACATAAGTCTGACAGCTTTAGTCATTTTTCAGCCTCTTCCTGTCCAGTTAACTCCATATAACTCCATATTATCTGATTTTGAAATTAACTTTTTTTAATAAACTGCAGGATAAAGTATTTCTTTATGGGCTGGATAACCTGGAAAATGCATTATCCCAAAGAAGAAAAAAGAGCTGAATATACAATATATAAAAGAGTTAATATGATCACAACCATAAACATCTACAGCAGTCAAATGCAAAAAAGCACAATGATACAGCACTCTTATCAATACTTACAAAACTGTTATTATAGTAAAACACTCTCAGGGGACATTTTAATAGAAAAGGACTTTTACTTTTGAATTCTCAATAAATATTTTTGCAGATAATGCTTACATTATTTTAATTAAATATGGTTTTCAAAGCAGACTTTGACAAGTAGTGGATTTTTTAATGTCAATACTTTTACATGTTTCCTTTTATAATTAGCACGAGGCTCTTGGTCCTCAGTATGAAGAGTTCCCCACCATGGAGACGGACTCGGTGTCAGGATGCACCGGCATGCAGAGACTCGGAGCCAAGCTGGGGTGAGCGGCGCGGCAATACTTGTCACTAACATCCACACAACACAACATCTTAATGTGTGCTATCATAAAGAAATGAACCTTTAACCTCTGCTGATCTCTCCTGGCTGCAGGTTTGTCTCCGGTCTCATCCAGCGGGTGAAGGTGGAGGCCTTCGAGCGCATGCTGTGGAGAGTGTGTAAGGGCTACACCATCCTCAGCTACGCAGAGGTGGACGAGAATCTCACTGACCTCGACACTGTGAGTTACTGCATGGTGCATGGGAGATGTTGTATCATTCATTCTGCCAGGTCAACACAAACGGGGGTTGCTGTTTTTTTTAGTTATTTAAGGCCCATGAAGAGCTGTTATCTCTATCGGCTCCTTACTATGAGCAACACATGAACACAATGTCTAGCTTCCCTTTATTTAGCTTTTCTGTGCTTCTTCTTGCTTTTCATATTGGTTATGGGTTGGCAAAGCTCAGTTGGAGGTGATTTTGTATTTCCAGGGTTAGGAAGGTTGCTTTTGAAATGCAATAGGTTACAGATTACAAGTTACCCTGTTAACATTTTAACCATTGTTGTGCACCAATCAGGTTATAAACATTGGATTTCAAATATGATGTAAGTTATTGGTGTGTTGGCTTATATGGCTTCTGTAAATCTGATTCAACCACATTTAAACTAGGGATATGTTGGAGCCGGTTCCATTTAGGCTTAATGAAGCAAGCAAAGTAAGCGAAGTCTTTAAGCGAAGAGCCATGGCAAACATAAAGATATTGACAGATATTTCTAGCTGATTGTCACTACTTACCTGGACAAATATCACAGGTAAATGTAACAGCTAAACTAAAAATGTGTCTGCTATTCCCTGGTTAGTGTGCTCTCTGCAGCTGGCTTGAATTTAGCCAAAGATCGTTTGTGAATTACAGTAGAAGGCACATTGCTCTTATAAGCTTATGAATATTTAGATGTATTTAGAAACAGAGGTAATTTAACGTTTTTGGGTTCTTAAATTAAAACTTCATGACTGGGATTTAGGCATGTCAAAAAAAGGACACTATGACACAATGATGACATTTAAATCCTACTTGTCTACAAACTCAAATACAAAGTGCTGTATAGTATTAGAGGTAGGTGTAAAAGTATATTTTTAAAAAGCTGTAATAATAACTTTCCTGATCTTTGTTGTTTCAGGGCGAGATCAGCAAAAGTGTTGTGTTTCTCATCTCTTTCTGGGGAGACCAGATCGGACAGAAAGTACAAAAAATCTGCGATTGGTAAGAATACCATCATCACATGGCTTAATCTTTCAGTGTATCTTTGTATTCTCCTTCATTAATCAGCGTACATGTCCTGTCTCTGTCCTCTCTAGTTACCACTGCCACCTTTACCCGCACCCTGAGAACGATGAGGAGCGCGCGGATGTGCTGGACAGTTTACGGACACGCATCCAAGACCTGAACAACGTAGGATCAATGAAGGAAGATGGACACATGAAACACGTCCACACACTCTCAGTGAGTTTGTAGTAACTGTTGTCTTCCCCCAGGTGCTGCACCGCACTGAGGAGTACCTGAGGCAGGTTCTGCAGAAGGCCTCTGAGTCGGCCTTCAGCTGGGTGGTGCAGGTGAAGAAGATGAAGGCCATCTACCACATCCTGAACCTCTGCAGCTTCGACGTCACCAACAAGTGTCTGATCGCCGAGGTGTGGTGTCCCGTCAGCGACCTGGCCAACCTGCGGGGGGCGCTGGAAGAAGGAGCGGTGAGGGGAAATTATTATTAGGGCTGGGTTTTTGTTTATGGGAACAGAAAACTGCCATCATGCTCAATAAACTTTAAAATGACATGTTTAAAAAATGCCCAAAAGCCTCTCGAACAATACAATACTTTTTAACAAAAGTGGAAAAAAAAGCTGTGTTTAAAATAGGGCTGTCAAGTTAACGCGTTAATAACGCGATTAACGCATGTGCATTTTTTGTCCTCGGCCGCCCCGTAGTTTCAGAGCGCATCGAGGTTCAAGGTTTCAAGGTTCAAGGTTCTTTATTGTCAAACTGACATAGCTACAGAGTAATTATGTTGTTGAAAATCTTATGTCACAGGCTTCTCCAACAATGCAACATAATAACAATACAGATAGCAAGAGCAATACAAAAAGAAAAATAGTTATAAAATAAAGTGAGCATGTGGAATAGTGCAGTACGAGTCTATATACAAGTTATTGGAATGATATATATTAGATACATATTACTGAGTAGCAGATGAATGTTTTGAAGTTGTTTCAACAGTTCAATTGTTTAACAGTCTCACTGCCCGCGGGAAGCAACTGTCTCCGAATCTTCTTGTCTTTGCCAGGATGCTGCGGTAACGTCTGCCAGACGGCAACAGAAAGAACAGTTTGTGGCTGGGGTGATGGGGGGGGGTCTTTGATAATCCGTAGTGATTTCTTACGAGTTTAAAATACCATCTATACAATCCAAGCACACTGCTGATGCCGACAGCCCCGCTCCTGCCGCCCGCTTGCGGCAGACCACACTTGAAAGTGTGCGGGGGAGACGCCTGGACACGTCTACGAGCAGCAAACTTTCAACAAAGATCGCTAAATGGGTGGCGACAGCTTGCAGGCCAATTAACATTGTGGAGGACGAGGGGCTGCGTGATATAATTCCGGTCGCATCCAACGACTGCACTTATGAATTGCCTTCCAGAGCCACCACTGTGTCGAAAATACACAACTTGTTTGAAGTCCAAAAAGCGAAAGTAGGGGAGGATTTAAGAAAGACTTCCACAGTTGCGCTCACCGGAGACTATTGGACTTAATAATGACAGTTACCTCGGGGTCACAGCGCATTCTTTTGACCCACAGTAGCATGAGAACTTCAGTCTCATGCTTTGACAGTTATGAAAACAGAGGAGCGGCATTTCGCCGACAACTGCGCCGACACACACACACACACGCGGGATTAATCGTGATTAACTATGGACAATCATGCGATTAAATATTTTAATCGACTGACAGCCCTAGTTTAAAATAATAAAATGTACATACTTACTAACATTTAATAAAACATCCTCAATAAACACCAAGTATTGATATTCATATTAAGATGTTATCATTACTTAAGAATCTTTGTGTAAGCCAAAATACTGTTTACACTGAGTATTTAGCTAAGGGTATAGAGTCAAAGATTGATTTATTTTAATCCTTTGAGCTGGTTTAAAAATAAATGTTGACCTATTAATTCAGGTGTATCACAATGAGTCTTTTAAAAATGCTTTTCCTATTAATACTGTCAGCAGAATAACTTCTGTTTCTGAACGACTGTTTCTAATGTTTTATTGCTTTCTAGTATTATTGTTGGTTGTGTAATTTCCTGTTTTTTATTGGTTAGCATTTCCTGTGTTTGCAGTGCAGTAAGTGCCAGTAAGTCCTACTGCTCCAGGCTGCATTTATGTTTCAATGTTTATTTTTTATTTATGTTAAGATTACATTCCCCACCAAGAATGCTTTAGTGGTAAACGTTCTGGTCAGAGAATCACTCAAACCTGTAAATATTTAACACAACACTGGGAGCTCCAAACATCATCAATGTGTCGTGTTCTGGGAATATATAACTCCGCTTCCAGAATTCTCCTTTACATTTTTGTCTTCATTTCTTCACAGCGGAAAGGGGATGCCACTGTTCCGTCCTTTGTGAACCGCATCCCGAGTTCCGACACCCCGCCCACGCTGCTGAGAACCAACAAGTTCACGTCTGGCTTTCAGAGCATCGTGGAGGCGTACGGGGTGGGGGATTATCGCGAGGTAAGCCCAGGTAAGAACCCACTCTTTGCTCATTAAGAACCAACTTTAAAGTGTCTTATTGTTTGCTTTGGAGAGTAAACAAGCATAATGAAGGGCGTTTCTCTCACTGGCAGCTCCCTACACCATCATCACATTCCCCTTCCTGTTCGCCGTGATGTTTGGCGACCTCGGGCACGGCATAGTAATGAGTCTCTTCGCCCTGTGGATGGTGCTGACGGAAAAACAGCAGAAGAAGAAGCGATCCAGTAATGAGGTAGGAATGAGTCTCATCCATAATGCAGTGATTGTAAGTGAGTTTTATCTGACGGCTGTGTGTCTGTCGATCTCAGATATGGGAGACGTTCTTCAGCGGACGTTACATCATCCTGATGATGGGGATCTTCTCCATCTACACCGGGCTGATTTACAACGACTGTTTCTCTAAGTCTCTGAATATATTCGGCTCAGCCTGGAGCGTCAAGGCCATGTTCACAAATCAGCAGTGGACGTGAGTTAGCATTAAATACACACCATTTCATCTGTCAGTTTAATTTAGTTCATTTTGAAATAGTGACAAATCAAATGTATACAGACTAAATGGTTCCTACCTTTTTACAATTTCTATTATCCTCAATTCTCATTAAAAGTATACATTTGAAATGAAATAAAGAAACCAAATAAAATCTATGTTCCTCACATCAAATCATTTATTGTTCACCCCGGTTGTATATTTCTTAATCACCTTATTTTCATGGTTCTTTTCAAATCTATCAAATGTATAACACCTTGTATTTAAAACTATAAATAATATATTTGTTGTTTTGTAATAACCAGTTCTGTTTACAATTCTCCTAACTCTCCTTTGTAGCATCAAAATCATATTTGTGATTGTCATGAATGTATTTCCCCAAATGTATGAAACTATGAAAGAAAGGCGCAACATATGTAATGAATTTAGATTGCGGATGTCTTTTGTTTTGTGTAATATTGACATTTAATGTGTTTTCCAGCTCAGTTTATGATCTATAACAAAAGCTGTCAGTATACAGCGTGTGGTGTTTCATGGGTTTTGTATTTGATGCATTTCTTCTTTGTACATTGCAGAAATAAAACCCTCCAAACGAATTCTCTGCTCACATTAGACCCCAACGTCACTGGCGTTTTCACTGGACCGTACCCATTTGGCATCGATCCTGTGAGTAAATGCACTCAGGCATTACCGTCAGAACATAATTGACTCATATCTCTAAGTAATTTTCACTGAGATGCTTTTTAATATCCTATCAGATATGGAACCTGGCAGTGAACCGGCTGTCCTTCCTCAACTCCTACAAGATGAAGATGTCAGTGGTTATCGGTGTTATCCACATGAGCTTTGGCGTGGTGCTGAGCATCTTCAATCACCTGTGAGTGGCTCCAGTCCCTGACAGGAACCTTATATCCATTTTATTTATGTATTCTTACAGCAATGCATTCCATCAATTCAAAAACACAGCGCCCATAGCTTTTCTATCATAGCTGTACCAGCAGCTTCTCATAAATGTCACAAATAAAACTGGAATATGAAACAATAACACACCACAGAACTTCATGTTTATTTCACGCATATGTTTACAGCTCACATATTTCTTTCTTTATTTTTTCAAGTAGCAGTATTTTTGTTCCACTGTACTGAATTTCATTTTACACCCTTTATTTAATCTTAAACTATTTTACACGTTTATAGTTTACCTTCTTCTGACTTTACTTTTATATTCGTCACTTGCACCATTTTTTCCAGTTTTTTTTCTTGCACTATTTTTCTTGTTATCTTAAGCATATGTATGTTGAATTGTTGGAGGAGCTTGGGACTGAAACTAGCTGTTGGGCATATGACAGTAAAGCCTTTAAATCCTGAATCTTTCTATTGCCTACAAAAACAATATATTGTTTTGAAGAGCATTTAAAGGGTGCAATCATTAAAACCACTCTTATCATTTCCTGTATTCCCATACTCTGTTCTCTCCCCTCAGGCACTTCCGGCAGAAGTTTAACATCTACCTGCTGTTTCTTCCTGAGCTGCTCTTCCTGCTCTGTCTCTTTGGCTACCTGGTGTTCATGATTGTCTACAAGTGGTTGGCGTTCGGGGCTCGAGACTCCAGCCAGGCTCCCAGCATCCTCATCCACTTCATTAACATGTTCGTCATGCAGGGGAAGGACCTCGCTCCTCTCTACCCAGGACAGGTAACAACATTATCTCAAACACTCTTAGCTCTGGCTGTATTTGATCCTGTGCTAATGCATTTGGTTTGATTCCACAGACTGGGCTGCAAATCTTCTTAATTGTCATAGCTATGCTGTCAGTTCCCGTGATGCTGTTAGGAAAACCGCTCTACTTGTATTGGCTGTACCGAGGAGGCAAAGGCCTGCGCAGACGCAGAGTATGTCTGATCCAACATTTTTTAAATACATATTTATACTCTACATGAGTAATTTTTCATTAAACTGTAATGGTGTTGTCTCACCTCAGGGTTATGAGAGGGTGAGGCGTGTAAGTGAGGACGACACCTCAGCAGCAGCATCCTATGAAGATGATGATGAAGAGGAGGGACTTGATGAAACGCCGGGCAGAGAAGCTCTTCCCAAAGAGGTCAGAGATCCACAAGTACCATGCCTTTTTAAATGTTGCATTTAAATGTATTTTATTTCATGCAATTTAAGATAATGAAACTGATGTGCTGCACAGAGTTTAAAGCTATTGCACATGTTCTAATTGTATACCTAGTAAGGCTTTTCCATTGTAGTCAAATATATAGAGCTTTCAATATCATAGAAACAAGATGCACCACAAATTTATAAAATAAGCGCAATTTGCCTTTAGTTATACAGTACGATTTGCAGCTTTGGTTTGATTATAGCCATTACTTCCCTTTTTTGTAATAGATAGTATATCCTAGTTTTAATTTAATTTCAATTTGTAATGTGGATTGACAGCCCTTAAAAAGAAAAAGCTGATATTTAGATTTCTTTCAGTTGCCATTCACCATGACAATGGTCATGCTCCCAGCTACTTTTGATCTGGAAAGCTGTAATATGTCACTTTAAATGACCTGAAATTGTACACTGTCTGGCTGCCTCTGTCGGTGATCCTGTGTATGCATGGCTAGATTTTGCATTGTGCCTGAAATTGTCTTTTGAGCTGTATTTAGTTACAGCCTTTTGAAAAAGTGTGTAGTTGTCTTGTGTATTTTAGGGGCGACAGCTTATGAATCTTTAAATCGTCCATTAATAAATTAAATGTTGATTATTTTATCAATTTATCATGTTGCTCTTTGGTCTATAAAATATCAGACATTTATGAAAAATGTTGCTTATGTTTCCCATAGCATGAGAGGACTTGTATTTTCCAGAACTAAAAGATATTCTCTCAAAATAAATATGTAATGTATTGAACAGGAGAACCGCAGACATCATTCCCCTTAGTATAACATCATCAGGGCTATAATATGTATTATTTGAACTGTTTTTCAGTTTGACTTTGGGGATGTGCTGCTGTACCAGTCCATTCACACCATAGAGTTCTGCCTGGGCTGCATCTCCAACACTGCATCATACCTGCGTCTGTGGGCGCTCAGCTTGGCCCATGCCCGTGAGTGCAGTCACAATAACTACTACTACTTTATTTTCCTCGGATATTAATTCATTTTCTGTGTCTTAGTGCATCCCCATGGACGTATTCTGTTTTGTTTTCAGAGCTGTCAGAGGTGTTGTGGGGCATGGTGATGCGTCTGGGCCTGAGGATCACCACGAGGGTGGGGGTGGTGTTTTTAGTTCCCGTGTTCGGCCTCTTCGCTGTGCTCACCGTGTCCATCCTGCTGGTGATGGAGGGTTTATCAGCTTTCCTCCACGCTCTGAGATTGCACTGGTGAGTCTTCCTGTACCGACTGATCTGAAGAAATGTTGGGATTTTAGCTATTCTAATTAGTCATTTGTTTTCTCAATTTATTGATGAATCACTAAGCCTATAAAATGTCTGAAAATAGTGAAAAATACTTGCTTTCTTTGAAGAAACAATCAAAAACCCAAATAATTTCCATTAACAAAATAATGCTGTGAACACCTTTTAAATAATTAATCAAATAATTGATTGATTTTCCAAACAACACAACAACATCGATGTATGCATCATATCAAATATAATTATCATATCATGGTATAGCTCAAATGATACATTTCCCTGCTCTTTAAGGCAGTCATTTAGTTAAATGATGCAATTTATTTATTTAATGAAATATTGCCTTTTCAATTTAAGCTTAAATAATGGGTCTTTAAAAATGTTTAATATAAAGACATTTATTTCTTCTTCTTTTTTTATATAATATTTGGTGTGATTATGCTAAGCTTTATTCAGGTTCCTGTTGCATTTACTTCCCTCATCGTTTATTAAAAGTTCCCTCATTGCTCACTTGGCCATTTGATTTCAGGGTGGAGTTTCAGAATAAGTTCTACCATGGGACCGGTGTAAAGTTTTTGCCCTTCGACTTCTCCCTCCTGCCCTCCGTTTTTGAACAAGATGGCCTGCTTTAGAAAAAAATGGACTCTGACGTTTTGCATATGATTGGAAGCAGACTTCAGAATTGGGAAGGATGCTGGAAACAATTTACACTGTGATGACGACAATAAACCTTCAACACAACGGACTGAAACTCACTCTTGTAGCAACGTTTTTCACCATGACGATTTTTTAAATGTTATCGGCTGTGCTGACTGCCTTACTAATGTACCCAGCAAACCCCTGAGCATACAGAGGTTGGAAAATATTCTTCTGATAATTATTTAATTTTGTAGATGAGCTCTACACTACTTGCTACACCAGTTGGGTGAGTTTTAAACTTTAATTTGCATTGTGCTGTGTAAACTGGTTTTGTATTATTTACAACATGGTATTTAAAAACCGTTAAACAGTGCAATGTAAAGTTACAAGACCACATCAAGCATCCTCGTGTAGTGCCATAGAGGTTTATTTCTGATGATTAGGGGATGCTTTGAGGTCTTTTAAAACTGCTTTCTACATGAGGAGAGAAACCCTGTAGGTATCGAAATCTAAAGAAAAAACACATTGTGAGGCATATTGTCACAAAGCACTTTGCATAAATGATTGTACAATTAAAACGTTTCACTGATGACTGTGATGATGCCAAATGGAAATAATATTCAACTGCTAGCTGTTTGCTTATTTACTTATTAATGCATTTATTTAAGCGTATAACTTCCCCTGTAATCGATAGAAAAATACTCCTGAAGAAGTCTAGAAGCTTTAGGCCTCTCTGACGATACTGCTTGTTGCGTTTGTTAATGATAATTAATCTTGGTATTTATTTAAATTATTGTCTGTACAAGAGTCCAATATTTTACCATTTTGATGTGTTGAATAAAGGTTTCAAGAAATGCAAGCAAGTAAAGCATTCATGTGTCTTTTGCTCCCTTATTCATTGATTTTGGTGGCCAGTTACAACCAACGACTTAAGTAATCATTAATCCATCCTCTTCACTTACAGGCTGGTTTGTCAGAATCTCAATTGGGTGAATGAGCAAGTGTGCAAAGTTTGTCACAGTCTCATTTTGACAAGGCATCAAAGTAAGCCTCAGTCTATTTTTCGGTATGAAATTAAACCATTGGTAGTTATGTGTTTTCACTTGTATCTCATTTCTCAGAGACATTTTGAAAAGGAAGGTCAGACCTTAAATGAAAAAATATGTTACTTTTTGTGAGCAAGTTGTTGGATCAATCTTAAAACCTCCAAGATAATATCTCAATGCAAGGCAACCAACGGTCTTAACATTTCAAAACTAGTATTTAATGTATTTTTAATGTGATATCTATTAGCCCTCTATGGAGATGCCCTCTGGTGGCTTTTACCTCACAGTAAAACTTGACTTATATAAAAAATGATGTGTTAAATCTGAGAACATCATTTTTGAAAATTCTGAAATACATTTCTTTAACTGTTTTAATACGGACATACTTAATAAAATCACATATTTATTTTATATCGGAACGTTTTTTCTCATTTAAAGACACGATTTATCAAATATTTGTATTAATGCATTTTCTTTTATGATTATTTTTGGTCATGACCTCATTGTTAAAATGAAAAGAAAAGCCTTGTATTCGATTCAGCACTTTTTTCAGAATCCTGCAATGATGTGGAAAACTGCAGTGAATGTCATGTGTGATATATAAAGACACACACACGCGCACAAACAGACCTGCACCCATATGCTACAGTGAGTCCTGTGATGATAGGGACGTCATCATGATCTCCCCTTCTCTCTCACTCTCATCCACAGGCTTTATTAATAACCGTAGTGCAGTTCATGTATTTTATGTAATAATGTGCTTGTTGTGTATCTAGCTGACACGTTTAGCACATCTACGTAGTTATTTTTAAACTATCTCAGGGTAAGGAGCCAACAGCTGCAAGCTAACAGTAGCTTTAGCTGAGGTGCAGTGCAGCTAGCTAACGGTACAGCTGTTGACTCCACCGACTCTCCGTCCATCCCGCTGCCGAAGAAGAGGAGCAAATGAACGAGCTGGTGAAGAGTCTGCCGTCCCCGACTCTCCCGGGGCTGCACCTGACCTGTCTGGACAGCGGGACCTACAAAGGCTGGCTCTTTAAATGGACCAACTACCTGAAGGGTTATCAGCGGCGGTGGTTCGTCCTTAGCAACGGCCTGCTGTCCTACTACAGGTAACGGTAACTAACGGTTACTGCAGCGACCGTTCGTTGGTGTACACCTGTCCCAACAGATGGGAGTACTCAGATATTGTACTTAAGTAAAAGTAGAAGTACTATAGTGTAGGAATACTCTGTTATATGTAAAAGTCCTGCATTCAAGATGTTAATCAAGTAAAAGTACCAACGTGTTAGCATCAAATTATACTTAAAGGACCAAAAGTAGGCCTACTCATTATGCAGATTGGCCCATTTCAGAATGATATTATGTATTGATTATAATTACTGATACATTCATATGTTTATCATAACTGGTAAAGCCTAAAGGTGTTATTGCTGGAGTTTGTGAATTTAGGCAGGTGTAAATAAAGTCTTTGATTATATTTCACGTGGTTAATCTAAATCTTCAAAGTGACAGGTATTATATTAATGTAGTGGAGTAAAAGTACAATATTTACCTCTGAATTAAAGTGGAGTAGTACCTCAAAGTACTTGAGTAAATGTACCTTACTTTACACCACTTCCTGTCGCTTTAAATAGCCTGTATTGATTCGATAAATGTCAACATTTTGTAATTGTTAAACAGCAGGTTGGCAAATACAACTTTTTAACGTTTAAGGTTATGTTGATTATGTAGCCAAATAGCTGTGCCCTGACTGATGCCAGTTTAGCTCCAAAAATCACCTGAGTCATATTCATAAGATGGATATTGAAGATTCAGGAATATTTAACCAGTTATCAGCTATCCTTAGTTACATACAGTGTTCTTGCTACACTGTATTTCATTTCAGCAGTTTCTTTATTGGATATTCTATTTTCTTTTCCATAGCTTCCTGTTGTGTTTATGCAGCATTGAAGCACTACACTGGAAATATAAGAAACAATTCTGATTATTGGATTTTAGACCACCCTCTAATTGAAACAAATATTATGGGGTGAAACAATTTTAAAGTAAAACTTCTGAATCGGCATATATTCATATAAGAAGGTAGACCAAAACAAAATTGTCCAGTGTATAAATACAGTTCTGTATTGATTTGGGTGTGTTATTTCAACACAACAACTTCAATTGAAAAAGGAGCTGCATAATTTGCTCACATTTCCTTCTATTGTTCTCTTTCCCTTCAGGACTCAGGCTGAAATGGCACACACCTGCCGGGGCACCATTCCTTTGGCAACAACACACATCGAGGTGGGGGACACCTGTCACTTGGTGTTAACTAGCAGGGGGCGAAGCTACCACATGAAGGCGACCTCTGAGGGGGAGTGTCAGCGCTGGGTCACCGCCCTGCAGCAGGCCAAGGCTAGCTCCTCTCTGCTGATGCATCACTCAGGTGAGGTGGATATTCTTTTATGGTGTGTGTGTGTGACCTATTTAAATGTCAATGGTAACTTCCCTCTGGGTTTCAAAATGTGTAATGATTCATGTTCACACATAATACTGTCCTGGTGCTGAGAAATAATGTGACTTCTTAAAATTGGCAGTCCTTTCATGTAGGCAAACAAACCTATCTCTTTTTTCATTTGTGGATTAACTGAATGTGTTGTTGCTTTTAAGCTCAATTCAAAGGGCTTTAACAAAAAGCATATAACATCTAAGCACTGACACAATGTGCAAAAGACATTATAGGACTTTAGCTTCAGATTAAAAAAGTCATTAAAAAGCCAAGAAAAACAAAAAACAAGCTAAAACAGAATAAGACGGGTTTTAAAATACAAGAAGAAAAGTTAAAATCGCTGCGTATAATTGAATAACTATATGACTGAATAAAAGGCAAACAGGAAAGTCTGCGGCTTGATTTAAAATGTCTAAAAGTTGCAGCAGACCTGCAGTTAGTTCTGAAAAACAACATGGTTTACCTGAGATTGTCCAAGGTAGGTCAAACTAATTTTAGCTGTATCTTGAATGCAGGCTCATACCAAAATGCACATTTTATCAGTTTGCCGCATTTAATGTAATGCCAACAACAAACCACAAGAGGGCAGTGTTGTACCATAGGATGGGATGGATATATGGTACAATATTGATGCAAAATCTGCGTTTAATCATTTAATTTAAAATAACCTATTCCTTACCCCTTTCACACTATATGTTGTATTCTATGAGTCTGGGAGACATTTTACTGTCTATCCTTATTTGTCTATTAAAACACCTGCAAAGATGCACCGTGGATTTTTCTCCCTCTTCTGTACAAATGTGCACAAACACACATGCAGCAGCTTGGCCTCCCTCCCACTCCGTCTCCTCTCTCCCTCCCTATCTCCTTCAGTATGACGACAGTGAGAGCTGAATGAAATGACCTTCCTTCAGACTCCTCCCGCTCTGGTAGCAGGAGGGGTACAAAAGAGAGAGGGTGTGAGAATTTTCATTGAAAATATTTTCCACCATACACTCTGTGGACAATAGAGAGACACGAGTGTAGCCTCATCTATGAGTGTCACCTTGTAAGTAACCTTTCATTATTTTACCGAGAGCAGAACTGAGATTAAAATAGAAGGGGTGTGCTCGCGTGCCTGCATGCATGTGTGGGTTTGTGAATGTTGCCGATGGGATCTGTTTATGGAGTGTGTGTAAATATGGCAATTGGATTTTCTTATTGGACAGAATTTGATTTAAAGTTAACAAAATGGCTGTGGAACCTTATTTCATTGCCGAACAACAGAGCAGTATTTATTTGTCTCCTCATTCTCGGGATTATGACTGTAAATGCAACACCTTGAAGTGTCATTGCACCTTAAGGCACCATGAACTGCTGAGTAAAAGGTTTGACCTGCAGTAAATCAATGTTTTCTGTTAATCTGGATTCTGGACCATTAACATATGGAGTCCATGATGTCACGTGGGAGGTGTTGATGCTCTATCTCTGCATCTACCATTGTAGAACAAAGGACTTTGCCACACTGGGAGTTATTACAGCCAAAATACTAAACCAGATTTTAGAAGGGGTTTTCTTCTACTTTGTTTCTGAATTTTCCCATGTTTCAGGTTTTATTTTGTATTGTTTTCATTCATTTTCATCATATATTTTTTATTATCCTACTTATCTACTGTCTATTTCATGTACTGCTGTCTGTTGTTGCCACTTTTGGTGAGTGCTTTGTTGTTTGTGTGTTAAATTACCGGTATGTAATATTGCTGTTGCTAGGTCACCACCTCAGGGTAACAACACCGGTCACGTTACGTAGTTTACATAGCTGGTGAACAGCTGTGAGAACTTTTTTTTTAACAGTGTGTTATATGTAGTTGTTATTCGTTGGTAAATTGGATTTTAACTAGCTCATTAATTCTCACTCAATTATGGCACCCGTTTTTTAGATCCTGCATTTATTTGGATATGCCATTTGGGACCTCATTTATTTCACCTCAACGCTTTCCAAATGCCTTCAATTTCCTCAAGAGGCGTTTATTGTTGTTTGATTGCCATTACACTGTCTGCTACACACTATTTTAAACAGAATAACAAATGTGTTTTCATCCACGTGCAAACACACACACACAAGTCCTCATGTGCTCTGGTGTGTGGGATGTGATTACAGCTTATTATATCATGAGCCTTGGGTTATTGGCTCAGTTGCAGTAATAGCCGGGCAGATTAAGTGGCGGGAAGTGGATTTCAAACAAAGTAATTGAGTGGACCTTTGCGGAAGTTATCCATCACCTACACAGTATCTTGTAACAGCTATCATAGAAGCACCACATGCCTATGCTGTGACTTAACATGTAGATC